ACTAGATTTTTTTTTTGGGATTGTCTATTTGTTAACATGAAATGTTTATGCTAATAAAGTGAATGGAAACCTACACTGCTATCAAATTTAGCAACATTATTGCAGCAAGTAATGATAAATTCAATTTTGAATAACAAGGACATTCATTCTGATGGGTTGATTGAGCAGATTGAATTACAATTTCTATTCACATTTAGGTGCTCTCCTCAGTACATAAAAGTGGAAAACAAGAACACAGCAGTTACGAACAATTAACTTGGGTTGTTATTCTAGTTATTTCATTCAACTTTTTTACTGACCTTCCGGCAAGTTGGACACCTCCTCCCCAATGCAGGATTCAGCACGCAATCGTTACAGATAGTGTGACCACAGGGCAAAATCTTGGGTCGATGCAGGTCCAGGTCGAAATCAATGAAACATATGTCACACTGCAGGGCCATCTAAAACACAGTAAAAAAATGTGTAACGCTCTGAAAATGTAGATGGTATACATCATTTAAAAAAGTACAATTCAAAAGGAATGACGACAAGACTTCACTTACAGTCAAATAGAATGCTGCACTATTTCTAAATACACAAAAGGATCAAAGAACATATATTCTACACGTCTATTCCGCTGCTGGTGATCACTGAGATCAACTTTCAACCCCTTTCAATTTGAAAATGTTCAGAGAGTGGTGGATGTTGTTCTTTCCGTAACGTGAAAACGGAACACTGATAGTTTGTCAGGTATACTCCAAATACGATTTCAAACACGAAATTTCAGACACTCTAAAGTCTCTTGTAGGCAACCAATACTAATACGACAATACTAAAGTTTAAATATGGGAAGAATTCTGGTATCAGGTTAGGTGGCTTCGTGTCGCGTAAATCATAACACAACACGCCGGCGGAGCGGCTGCTACCAGCGTGCGTTCCTTTTCATCTTCGCCCTTCCGTAAGTGGTCGGGCCATCGGACAAGGCACAAGGCGGTGAGGCGGCGGCGCGCTTAGTTATGAAACAAAGGGGAGGGAGGATTGATAGACCGCTGGGCTACCATCTTCCCAAACGGAGTGGGGATGGAGGGGGTAGTCCGTTTCCGTTCTTTGGTCAGGAGGGAGGATCATTACAGGTCGGCCTCTCAGGCCCCGCCACTAGACGCACTCCAGGGCCGAGCCGTGGAGTCCTTTGTGGCGGTCTCGACCACCGAGCCCCTGCGAGGTAGGCACGCCCACCGCGCTCCCCTGCTAATGCTGTGGACTACTCGTTAGCCGCCGTAGGCGTAGTGCAGTGGTGGACCAGGCAGAGCCCCCGACCTGACCGCGGCTGACGAGTAGCCCACAGTGTTCGGTGTTCTACTCTACTTAGTACACTACAGGACAGGCGCGGTATGAAGGGGGAGGGGGGCGATGCACTGTGGGTTGCCTCCATACAGGGGTTTTGTAGCGCATATTGCCTACCTTTCAGGCGGCTCACTAGAGAGCACCGCGCCTGGTACACTAGCAGGTTGTTATCATCGAAAGACTTCGTTGGTTGTTGTGGTAAAACGGAGGCACGGTGGTTATCTGGCATCAACTTATTCTGACAGATTCAAAACTCCATTGAAATTCCTGACAAAAATGCGGGGTCAGCGGCCGACGCCTATCCAGGATCTCAGGTGACCTCAGTCTTTGGCGGCGTAGGGCCCTACCCGGGTCGATGTCCCCTAGCGAGGGGAGCCAGCCCCCCCCCCCCAGCCGACGATGTTCTCCTTGAGCTCGTATAGTCGTCCGAGCCAAACTTCTCGACTGAGGCGACGCGTCTTTAGCCCATATCTCGGTCAGTTTTTGAGCTAGAAGCCTAAGACTTGGTGACGTCTTAGTGTCGGGGAGCGACACAGTCGTAAAGAGGAAATGCTGATATTGCATAGAACGCTCGCGGCGTTAAGCCTGGCCGCGAGTCGTCAGTCGTAGGCAG